TTATATATGAGAAAATGAGGTAAAGCTAAGTCATCTTTTTATCTAAAGATATATCTTACATATATATGTGTGTGATGAGAGAAAGAAAGGGGGGAGAGAGAGGCACTTTCTCACTTAATATAAAATCCAGAAAGCATGATTTATGTTATGCTATTTCTCTCTGAAATGAGAAAAGAAGAGATTTTAATCTTGGCAGAGTTCGTATTGAGTTGCTGACAATATTCTTTCCTATATTTGATAATACTGAAAATCTCAGAATGGTCTCACTCAGTATCAGTTGGCAGCGTCTACATTTCCTTTTCCTTTTACAGCCCTCTTTTTTTAATCAAGTGAAGTAAATAGGATTTAAAGCAAAAGAAAGCATATTTGAAATCCTCAGAAGATAGGCTGACCAAGTCCCCAAAGTTTTGTATTATTTTTGCATTCCAGCGACCACTAGTTCTAGAATGCAGAACATTTGATTTGTGCACACTTAGTCATGAAAATCAACTCTGAAATGTATTTTTGCTGACTTCTTGTCAAATTTGGGGTCTTTTTTCTTTCTGTATAATAAAACAGCTGCTTGCTGACTAGTTAAGAAACATATACATAAAAACATCAAACACATACTTCAATTCTACTGTCAGCTTTCCTTTGAGGCTTGCCGGTTGCCTGAGTCCCAATCAGTGCCATTCATTGTTTTCATTGTATTCTCCTCAGTGCCTGCCAGGTTGGCTAAATTGGTTCTACTGGTATTCCTATCCACTTTTATAAAGGATTTATCAGATTCGGTAAATAAGAGATTATACTTTCTAATTCCAAATTGTAATTGAAAACCCCATCGGCTCCCTTTCTTTTGTGCGGCCGCCACATTTACTAACAACGCCATTTTCTTATTTTCAACTGATTGGATGAACACAGAACTCATTAACCAGTATCTGATGTGCTAAGTAGAGCATTTAAAAATAGATACCTGCCTTTTCTTCATCCCATCCTCCACCTCCCCTAACTGTTCTCTGGGCTATCACCTCCTAAGATTGGGAGTTCCCAGGTTCTGTGGGATCTGAATATTTAAGTATCAGTGTACCTACTTTCAAATACAAATTTATAGGCAAAAGGAAATACAGCTCTTGAGAATGAGATCAGAAATAGCAACCATTAACTAATTTAAAAAAGCTGGCACAAACAACCCAATAAGAAGACTTTTCCAGGAAAGTCTTGGAAAGGGCCCTAGAGTGAGAGCCCTTGAAGCTTTAGTTTTGCGTGACTTTCATACTTAGTCAGCCTTGGCTCCCACCATGCCTCCCAGCTCTCATGTGGCTGGAGCCATTCTGGCTCTTTGATGTTCCTGGAGGTCTCCAGAAACATTCAAAGTCTCAGTGTCATAGCAGTCATCACTGCCTCTCCTTGGAATGTTCCTTGGGATCTACTTCCCACTTCCCCTCCTCTTGTTCACTTCCTTGCTCAGGTGTTACCTTCTCCAAGGAGACTTCCCTAAGCACCATATTCAGAATTCCAACCACTCCTCCCACTAGCATTCCTTAGCTTTCCTCTATTTTTCTTTGTAGCTTTCATCCTATCTTAAATAGATGTTGTAGTTAAGTAGTGGCTTGTTTGTTTCTGCTCATTAAGATGTAAAGTTCCACGATAGAAGAAATTTTTTTTTGCCTTTTTCCTTAAATTATGTATCCTCAGTGCCTAAAAACAGAACCTCACATATAATAAAAGTCTGATGAAATGTTTTGAATAAATGGAAGCAGTAAGGGAGGTTCCATTTTGTTTAACAAAGTGCACTATAATCAAAATATAATTGACAAATATTGTTTGACCATGTGGAGAAGCAAAGAGAGGAAAAAAGCCATAAACAGTTGATAAAAAAATTATTACTCTGCTCCATGAGTAAAAAATAAAGAGACTACCTGGAAGGATCGTTTGACTCAAACTTCTTCTTGGTATTCTGGGATTCTCACAGAATCAGCACATGAAATCTTATTTAATCTGCTGCTTTGGTCTTAGGTAAAGATAGTGTACAGAGATGAAAAAAGTTCTCCCCATACGGGGAGCATTTACCTGGAGCTTACACATGACAACAAATGGATGCTTCAAAGTAAAATAGGTTTCGATAGCAATTTAAGGAATTTAACTTTGTGTTGGTGATGGCTGGACTTGAAATATGATTTCTAGAAGAGCAAGAGATGCCCTTTTTACAGTATTGCTAAGAAAACATTTATGTACACTTTATTTTTAAAAGCTGTAGTGAGACCTGACTTAGGAAGGCATAAGCCTTTTTACAGTTCTGTTTTTCCTATTCTAATATTTTGGGAGATTTTCAAGAAGAAATTACTAAACACAATTCATAAAAGTTGTGTTTGTTTAAAAATGCTCCCTCCATGTCTATTAAAGATACATATATTAAATAAGCATTGCACTGTTTCCTTTTAAAACCAGAAAACAGGGACACCTGGGTTTCTCAGCCAGTTAAGCATATGCCTTGGGCTCAGGTCATGATATCAGGGTCCTGGGATTGAGTCCTGCCTGGGGCTCCCTGCTCAGTGGGGAGCCTGCTTCTCCCTCTCCCTCTGTTCCTCCTCCCCACCAATCCTCCTCACTCTCTCCCTGTCTCAAGTAGATAAATAAAATCTTAAAAAAAGAAAACAACTAAAGAACAAAAGATATTAGTAACATATAATTAATTTTAATCTTTTTCTTACTTACTATATTCGTTGTCTATCGATGTGCCAACAATTCACCACAAACTTGGGTGGCTTGAAACAATGCAAATTGATCGTCTTACAGTTATGTAGTTGAGTTGCATGAGATGGGGAGTCACTGGGATAAAATTACCATGTCAGCAAGCCTGTGTTCCCTTGAAAAGACTCTAGGGGAAAAACCTCTTTCCTCATCCTTTCCATCTGCCTTCTTGAAGGCCTCTCATATTCCTGGGCCTGTGACCCCTTCCTCGAGCTGCTGAACCAGGAATGTAGCATCACACTGAGCTTATATCCATCATTACAGCTCTTTCTGACCATAGATGGGGAAGATGCTCCACTTCAAAGATTTTATGTGATGAGATAGGACCCACCTGGCTAAATCAGGAAAATCTATCTCAAAATTCTTGAACTTAATTATACATGCAAAGTTCCCTTTGCTGTTTAAGATAGCATATGTACAGGGTCTGGCCTTAATTAAACTATTTTTAATAAAGATTATTTAAGGTCAGTATCAGTACTCAACATACCTCAAAAGAGCAAAAATCAAATGCTACTAAAATCTAGACACTTCTATTGAACACACACACACACACACACACACCACACACTTTTTCCCAAAGAAGTTATAATTAACTCATTAACATGTCTTACCCGGACCTGAGTAATTTGAGTACATAAATACCTTAGGATTAATTCTCACATGATATATAGAAATATTTTCAAGGCTTAAATTAGCTTTTCCTTTTTGACCACATAATCTAATCCTTTAATCTGCCACTTTTGAATCAATTAATAAACAACTGAGGTGGAATTAGACCAATTCTAGGAATGAAAGAAAATAGCAGAATAAGACAATATGTAAATTCCCATGGGAAAACAACAAGAGAAATAATGATTTAGATACTTGTGTTATTCTCTTATTTCATTGAAGTATTGCAAATACAGTATTTAATTTATAATCAACTTGTCTTCTTATTGCAACACTACTACTTTAATGCAAATTTAGTCTGGCTTCATAACATCATCTTTTTTCATATTTATTGGGAATGATTGCTCTTCTCTAATAATATATTTTAAAATATTCTATTTTTTAAAAACCAGTACATATAAGACTTTTAAAATCCTATACATCTGTAATAATTGTGACATCCTACACATTAATTGTTCTAAACTTACAGCAGTTGCCTGGGGCTATTCTTCAAGCTTTCTTAACTTGGTTCTGATTCATAAAGGTGATGACAAAGGTAGCTATTTTACAATGTGTTAAAAATTCCTCAGTTTAATATTTAAGTTACTGCTACTACACAAATAATTTCACCTTTTAAAGAGTTCCTTGTAGTAACCATTTAATAAAGTATTAAAAAAGAATGTATAGATAGCATATTAAATAGACCTCATTTACATGGAAATGCTACACCATTTTAGTTATCAAGGTATTTTTCTTACAGATGTTCTGCCTCTGGCAGTGTTAAACGCACTGTAGCCTAACAGGACTGAATTGATTACATGAATTCAGCCCCATAATATTATACAGGGAAATTTATTTCTCTTTTAATGAAAAGCAGACACTCTAATTTCTCATCTTAAAATTTTACAGTGTCACTCTGTTAATTATAAAATAAAGATGAGTCTTCTTATCACGGAGGCTCCTCACTTCTCCTAACTTCTATACCACTCCAATATTGATTCTGTGCAGAAATAAGTCATCATAAGTAGGCAATTATCTTTTATTCTTCTGCCAGAGATGGCCTGTCATCTTTGAATCCTGCTGGCAAAATGAGCTTTCACCACTTTTTACACCTACTTATATTGAGTTGAGATAAAATAATGAACTAATTGGTCAGATCAGATGACAGTAATCAGGGATCTTACCCAGAATCAAACTATACGAAGTAAGCCAAATGGTGCAATGGACTTCAAGATAAAAAATAAGACTTGGACTGCACTTAAACAGCTCTCCAGGTCCTCCCTTACCATATTATTCTAACAATGTGCCTTGACCAAGATTTCACCTATGTGTAATGTAAGTGGTCTCACACTACTAGGAAAACCGCTGTGGTCAGGAAATATCTTCATTTTAACACACATTGACACCGTTGTCGCTAATATTTTCCAGTAGGCCATGTTCCATAGGTCCATAATTATCAGTTTTATTATATTAAGTAATGAAAACTAACGAGGTACCTTCTTTTCTTCTACGTCCTCCTCCTGTTCAGCACTGGTGTAAAGTTCAAACCACATGCTGGAACCCTCCCCCTGGCCCTACCATTTAATCACCATGAAAATGACAAGCCAGTCTCCTTTTATTAGGTTCTCAAGCCTTTTCAGACCTGCGTGGGAACCAGGCTGTTCTTGCAGAAACCTCATTATGTGAGTAAGAAAACTCCATACCCTATTGGGGTGTGTGTGTGTGTGTGTGTGTGCGTGTGTGTGTGTGTTTGCGCTGTCATCAGCATCAACATTCAAACCAAATTTTGGGCGGAGTCCATCCTGCTTTTATGGGTGGCTATAGCCATCTTCCTACCTGGACTCCCCTCTTCTGTTGCCCCCTTCAAACCATTATTCATTCTTCATTTAAAGGAAAAAATAGCCTTCTTAAAGAGTTAATACCCTTAAAGGGTTAAGATTACTTTAATTGGATATCCCCCTTCCCCATCTTGAAATGAAATTCCCAGTCACACTTAAAAGCCCTGTGTGATCTGAACCTTGTCCATTTTTTCCAGTCTCAATTGGCACTCTATTTGTACAGGGACCCCAAGCTTCAGATTTACCATTTTTTTTTTAGTTTCTTGAATATTCCATTTTCTTTTTCTTTACCTCAAGACCTTTGAGCATGCTCTTACCTCTTCCTGGAATGCTCTTCTTCCTCTTTATTCTCTTTACCATTAAATAGTAAATCACTTTTCTTTAAATTTTAGCTTAAATGGTGCTTCTTTAGAGAGGTGTTTACTACCTACTCTGCCTACCTAGAGAAGGAGCACTTGTCCAGTTTCTATCCCCGTCTAAGCTTTACCACAGCAGACTGTCTTTTTTATTTACTTTTTATAACTAGGACCCAGTAGAATATCTGCTATATAATAAATATTATTAAATGAATGAATATTAATGACTGACTCAGAAATTCAGGATCTACTATATAATAAATATTAAATGAATGAATATTGATAACTGACCAACCGATTCAGAAATTCAATGAACTGATTCAGAAATTTCCTTAAAGTAGGGCAAGACATAATAAAGGTGACTCTCATAATTATCAAGATGAAACTCACCCAACTGAGTAACATGGAAATGATTGCCATCACACAAAAAACAAATGGTCAAAAATAAGCAAGCCGCAGACCAGAACTAGCAGCTTGGGATGAACAGAATGCTAAAAACCATAGGCATTTTCTCTCTATTTATGCTCACTAGAAAGTAAACAGATGGATCTAAAAGTTTGCAAAGAATTTTTATTCCTCCCTAAGGTTGGAAAGGTAGAAATGCAGGGAGTAAGAGGAAGGCAGCTGTTTCATTTCTCAGAAGGATAATTAAAGAAACAGATTATCTACTTTATAAAAGTGAAAGCCACAGCATCTTCTATCTTAGTTTCTCAGATCAAAATTGAAATGCTCCTTTCAATAGAGTGTTAACATTCTTTATTTAATATATCAATATCTTTTACTTAATAGAGACCACTGAACACCAACAGAATGAGTATGCCAAATGGACAACAAACATTTGTGTGACTGTATTATTGCTCTTATGTATACTTCTATAGAAATACAAAACTTGGGAAAGTTGTTTATTTTTTCACTCCTATGCAGGAAAGCAGGACATTTATCTATTGAATTTGACTCAGACGCAATTAAGAAATTATTACCAACATTCCTAATAAGTTAATTAAATAGACTTAAGCAATACTGTCATTAAGTAAAAAAAAGAAGAAGATCTTGGATAGGCAGTAGATAAACTACATGACTACGTAGAAGAGCAATTCAAATCTGGAGCTAGTAAGTGTTTTATAAACATTCTTATTCTGAGGAAGCTATGACAGATATAAAAAGGAGATTAGAAAGAAAGGGCAACATCAGTAAATAAACTGTTTCAATTATTGAGTCTTTGTTTATAATGTGAAGTAAATGTAGAGGTAAATCTACAATCCAAGCACACTGCAGAAGAGGCAGATAGGAAGTATGAAGAGGTGGCTCGGAAGCTGGTGATTATGGAGGGGGACTTGGAACGCACAGAGGAACGAGCTGAGCTGGCAGAGTCCCGTTGCCGGGAGATGGATGAGCAGATCAGGCTGATGGACCAGAACCTCAAGTGTCTGAGTGCTGCTGAAGAAAAGTACTCACAAAAGGAGGACAAATACGAGGAAGAGATAAAGATTCTCACGGATAAACTCAAGGAGGCAGAGTCCCGTGCTGAGTCTGCTGAGCGATCGGTAGCGAAGCTGGAGAAGACAATTGATGATTTGGAAGATAAGCTGAAATGTACCAAAGAGGAGCATCTGTGCACACAGAGGATGCTGGACCAGACTCTGCTGGACCTGAATGAGATGTAGACCCGCCATCCCACCCGCAGCTGCTCCTCCCTCTGCCCCGACTCTGCCTGAGGCCGGCCTGCCCGAAGCCGGCCTTGCAACTGAGGGCTATCTTTAACTGGAAGGCTGCTTTCTCCTCTTGCCGCTTCTTCCACCCCCTCCCCTGTGTCTTTTTCGCCAAACTGTCTCTGCCTCTCCCTAGAGATTCCAACTGGGCTTGAGGCTGAGCACCTTTGGGAACAATGTTGAAGGGAATGTGAGCACAATGCAAAGTGTCTTTAAAAGCATGTTGTGATGTACACATTTTTAATTACCATTTTTGCTGTTGTTGATGTAGTGACCATTTGTAAAACATTCTAAATTACCCACAGCTCTGAAGCAGCAGTCTCATCCCTTCCTCACATGTGGGAAGTAACTTTTCAGTTCAGTGCATACTGCCCTCCGCAGAGGAGGGCAAGCGGCAAGGGGCCTGCCTTGCTGAGAGCCAGAGACCGGAAAGAGCCCCACTCTGGGAAGCTTCGTTGCTTTGTGCAAAGTACCAGCCAAATTAGAAAGATGATTCCAGGAGGAATGGCCAAAAAAGTGTGGCTCAGGGTTTAGCTTTAAGGTATCTTTGAGCAACTTTATTAATTTTTTTTTTCATCAGAAGTGACCAAATTAAGATGGTGAGACCTCTATCTGAGACCAAATCCTGGGCCTGTCTTGGCCCTAACTGCCCACAGAATGGATCATGTTCCCCTTATGTTGAGGTGACCACTTGCTTTCCTGTCTCCTTGAAGGAAAAAAAGAAAATTACGTGCTTGCCCCTGATTCAGCCACATGAGACAAACTCATCTCATCACCCTTCGCTGGGTCCAAAGCTGCTGTCTCTAGAAGTGCCATCTCGTGCTTTGTATCAGTCAGTGCTGGAGAAATCTTGAATAGCTTATGTACAAAACTGTTTTTAAAATTTTATATTATTTTGAAACTTTGCTTCTGTAGGGTTGGGGCACATTGGCCACCGCGTCTGGCTGAGCATTTTCTCCAGGCTGTGGGCTGACATTGTGCTGGTCTTTTAAAGTTTCTTTCCCTCCCCAGTTCCCCTTTTTGGTGAGGTTTCTGTGAGGCATGTCAGGTGTGCATGCTGCGGCTTACTGGCTTACCTGCGCCCCCGTTTTTACCTGCAAACTGTTTTGATACTGAAAATTGACATGTGTCTTTTTGAAATAAAGAACCAGTCCCTCGATAGTAACTGTGATTACTTTTCTCTAATTTAAAATAGCCTTGGAGCACCTGGGTGGCTCACTCAATTAAGCTTCTACCTTCTGCTCAGGTCATGATCTCAGGGTCCTGAGATCCACCTGATGGAGCCCCACACCTGGCTCCCAGCTCAGCTGCAGGTCTGCTTCTCCCTCTCCCTCTGCCACTCCCCCTACTTGTGCTAGCTCTCACACTCTCTCCGCCCCCTCTCTCCCTCTGTCAAATAAATAAATAAATAAAATATTTTTAAGAAATAAAAAATTAAAATAGCCACAAACATTGAAAGGTCTTATATATGATTATTTCAACTGACGGTATTCCTTAGTCTTCTAATTATTCAAATATACAATTCTTTATAAATCTAGTTTGATCTGCGAGCTTTTCCTTAAGTCTCCCTCACTTAATTTTCTCTTACACTTTGCCAAATCTCAAAGAAAAAATATTTGTGTTTAAGAAAAGATGTTATCCTTTCCCAAACCAGTGGAATTTTTTATCAATAGATCAGGCTAAAAGGCATGGCATTATTTCTATTACAAATAATTATTATAAATGTCAATTACCTTTGTTTCACATTCTTTTACTTATGACAAATGTAAAGGTATTATAAAGTTTTTTCATGGCCTAAAAACTGAATTTAGAAACATACAATTTTGAGTACATTACTTTTATTTTTTTTAAATACATACAATAGAGTTGAAAGGAGATTTTGAGGGATTAAAAATAACGAGACAAAGTCCTTAATTATGAAATAAACATTTTATTATGAAGAGAATCAATATGCTCTTTTAAAAACTGTTTCAGTGTCTGCTCTGCACACCCACAGTCTGCTAGGCATAGGGTCCAGCCATAATCCTGGTATTTTCTATATGCATAAATTTTATGAGTTGTAGATCTTAATTTTCTTGAATGGAATATTAAAAAGTTGAAAAACGGGGCCTCTAAGCTTACTTAATCTCATGCCGTACTTTGATTCTGTACTATTCCTGAGAAAGAAATCTTCATCACAATTTGAACATCAGTAACCCTGATTTTGATCTTTACTTTAAATATGTTTAATAATATGCCTCTCATCTACATTCCTATTCTATCGTGCTAACTATTTCTTTATAATTCACTGATTAAACTATTATTTTTATGTGCCGGTCGGATTTAAAGTCTGATTTTAAAAATTATAGATTTGTAATATGTATACATCTGCTGTGTTGAATTACATTTGAGATATTTTGCACACAAGCCAGTAGTTTCCAATCTGGGAAATAAAGACATTTCCCTGTGGCCCTTAAGAGGGAAGATCACTGGAGCCTGTAACTAGGTGTGCGGGAACCTTTGTTATGAGCACTTTGGGCTGCTATGAATACCTTTACTTTATTGCTCTTCCTATATTGTATCTTTTTCCTTCACAAACCATGGAATCATGAGTACTGACATTTTGGGTCCTGGGAATCTTCTTTATCAATTGAAGCCTGTTTGGCTACCACCATTAGCACCATTCCTCAATCAATTTTCTTGGGTTTTCTATTAACTTGGGCATATAACCTCCAAAATCAATATTATTAATCCAGCTTCCATTTTTTATAACTCTGAAATCTTCCTTTTTCTAATTTATGATCATCAACACTTTTAGAAAAAATATTAGCTATATTCATTTTGTATTTTCCTAATTTAATGAAAATGTATCCAGTATTTTCTTATTTTGTTAATATTTTAAAGGATTTTTAATATTGTGTGAGTTGATCTATATATACTTTCTATTTTGTAAACATTGGATGTTTTTATTAAAATAAGACATTTTTTCTTCTTTTAAATATATTCTGGATATTTTCAAATGGTATTATGCTCATCTGTATTCTAAAGATTTAGTTTTGGTAGATATTTCTTCATAGAACATCAAGGTTCAGTATTTTTAGGGGGAATAGTACTTTTGGCAAAATTCTACATTTCTTCTATAATAATATATAATAATAACTTTCTATTTTCTTTATAATTTGGAGTTGTTTTAGGGAAATTATATTTTTATAAAATAGCCAATGAATCTGTTTCTTTTTTCATTGTAACTGTATGTAATTGAGCAAATTTCAGTTCATGTAGTTTCTATAGTAACTGTGATTACTTTTCTCTATTTGGTATTTTATGTGTTTCTATTTTCTCCCTTCTTGGGTAGATTAGCTTTTCAGTCACATATAAGTTCAGTGTTTTCTATTTTTTTTTTCCTTATTATTCTATTTTTTAAATTTTTAATTAAATAAATTCTAATTTTAAATTTTGCTTCTTTCTACTATAATGTTTCAGATTATTGTTTAATTAAACTAGAAATTTATTTAAAAAATAGAAAAAATGTAATCTGTGGATATTAAATAAACAAATAGAAAATCACACTTAACTCAGGAAAAGGAAACATCAAAACCAAATTACAACGTAGCTCAAAAGTCTTCATAAAATACTACACATTAAGACATATTGAATGCCTCGTGGAACAGTATATAGAGAAAAATTTGGACCTCATTGTCTATATCATTAAGTCACATAGTTAAAAAATATCTTTATTAAGCTTTGAACCATAAGTATTTTAAGGAATAATACAAAGTAAAGTTAAAAATGCAGAAATAACTCTAAATTAGTAATTTCAAAGAAATTGATAAAGAAAAAAATTAGAACCACTAACTAAATTCAAAAGCTAGATCCAAATATTAGTGAACCAAGGCAGCAACTAGACAAAGTAATAATTTAAAAAGTCACATAAATCAGAAAAATTCCTAAAAGATCAATAATAAAAGACAAAGAATACTCATAAATGCCAAAGACTATGAATGCCTGATACATTTCATTAGCAATCAAATATATACTAACAGTCATAAATTACCATCTTCTTCCCCTCAGATTTGCAAACAATAATGAAAAACATTTCAAGCTATTTGATCACATGATATTTAATAACTGATATCGCAGAAAACTTGGTGGGAGCTCTGAATGGGGATTATGTTTCTGTTTGTCTTTATTAATTTGTTAAGCAGGCAGATACGCATTAATACCACCATTCTTCCTTGCAACTGGAGACAAAACAGTATTATGATAGTCACAGATAATAGGTTGCATCCTTGATGTTTCAGGTTCCTGAACTTACACAGAGCAGAATCAGCAATCCTGATCTGCAGTGGGAAGTCAGAGGGGCCATGTGGTTGGCATGTTTGCTTCCCTTGGGGGACATGCTGCTCAGTGGGTCACTGGCTGACAGAGCTCCACTAAAGATCATGCCATTTCACTTGAGGAAATTGGCTACATTCCTGTTTGTTCAGAACTGAGATAATCCTTTTTTCTCCCTTTCACCCTGCACTAGCTGATCTCTGAGATTTAGACACCTGAAGCATGAGAGCGAACTAGAGGTTAATTCAGCAATTCTGTAAATAGTTCTGTACCAGAAGTGTTTGCCAAATAACAAAGCCGCTTCTTTCCCCAAGGACTTGGAAGTGAAGACATTATTTTTTAGAAGCACAAAGAGCAATCTGATGAGGATGGTATTGGCATTTAGCCAAGCATGAGCTCCACAAAGACCACGAGGCTGGGCCTGCCCGTGGCGTTCTTTATGGCTCTAGTTCTCCAGATTAAATTGTATCAGTCCATCAGCTCAAGAGTCTTGCAAGCGGCCCTCTCAGTTCTGTAGTCCTTTTTCTGGATAGCTATCTAAGGAAACACATGGCAGTCATCAGCTTAGAACTTAAGGAAAATTTCAGCAAGGCAACCACAAAAATTACTTCAGCATAGAAGGATAAAAGTTGACACATCACAAGCTAAAATGGCTCCTGGAGCCTCTCTGG